TTTGTGAACCTTCAACTATGCTGAGCATCAGTTAACCATCAGCTAGCTTAACACTCATGAACCTTCAGCTACGCTGAACATGAGTGAACCATTAGCTAGTTTGAACATTTAGTGATTTGAACGTATTGCCATCGTCTAGCTGAACCTTCAGCTAGTAGACCCCGCTGGTAGCTGAACATGAAGAAACCATCAGCTTGCTAGTGTACCATCATCTATATAGATCTGAACACAAAAGTTGATAACTTTCTAATGCAAAATGCACGGCCCGTGCCAATCTGAAGACCAAAAATGTACGACTCGTGCCAAAACGCACTACCCGTGCCATTCTGAAGGCCAAAAATGCACTGGTCGTGCTCAACATTCTATATGCAACACGACCCCTGCTCTTTTCTAGTGTAAATGAGCACGACACATGCCTGCCATCTGCCACTTATACCCTTCCTATACCAGGCCATTCGACAATCCCGAGTTCTGGGTAGCTTACACGAGTGTGCACTCCACACCTCCTTGCCCTTGTTATAGCTTAACTAACAACCCCATATTCCCTTCGTGAATCCAATTACATAAAATGAACAAATCATTTTACAAAAATCACCAACATTCCTCCCCTATTTTAGTGCAATTTTTGATTCACAAACAATTATTAATGTCGAAAAACAAACTCATACATGGATGAAAAATATCTAGAAGATTGAATTTCCATATTAGTACATTACATGTTTCAAATACTCAAAAATCCAAGTGTCCTATAGACTAAACCCTTCAACTCACTTGAGTACCAGAAAATAATATACACATGAATTTAAATGACTCTCTAAAGTTTAAACTTGACACTATAACATGCCATGTGTCCTTATCCATTCGTGGGTGTATATAAAGCCAATTCCAAGCTTCTTGAAGCGGCCACACGTCATACTTATATAGGTAGTTCCTTTCATCATACACCTGCACCTGCACTCTTACGAAATAACTATTAAGAAGTATACATTCAACCTTCTTCACTTGCGATGTCGAACATATACCTTGGGATGATCAACTTGTGCTCCAATCTTTTAGTGTGATCCTTCCTATTGAATTCCACTTCTAACATTGTATTAGAAGGTAATTGAGTATCACACTGTAATAGATTTTAGATGGACTTTAATTCCATACCTATCACTGACTTGTGAACCAAGTCCCGAGCTAACCCTTTCGTCAAGTGGTTCTCTACATTTTATTGTGACCAAACAAATTCAACCGAAATCACCCTATTCGTGATTAATTCACGAATCATGCTTTGTCTAATATCTAAGTGTCTAAACTTGCCATTATACACTTGGCTATAAGCTTTAGCCAAAGTAGCCGCACTATCAAAACAGATAGAAATAGACAATATTGGTTGTGTCCATAATGGAATTTCATGGACTAAATTCCTTAGCCACTCCATGTCTTTACCGACAACAGTTAATACCAAAACTTTCGGCTCCATAATCGAACTCGTGATGCAAGTTTGCTTGTTGGAAGCCCATGAGATGGAACCTCCCACAAGCAAGAATACCCAACCACTTGTTGAAGAGTGATCTTCTAAGTTGGTAATCCAACTTGCATCAGAATATCCCTCTAATACTAAAGGAAAACCAACATATGACAAACCATAATCTATGGTTTTTTTCAAGTATTTAAATGCTCGTCTTATTGCTTTCCAATCTTGAGTACTAGGACTACTAGTATACTTACTCAACTTTCCTATGGCAAAAGGAATATCCATCCTAGTGCTTGTAATGGCATACATCAAGCACCCGATAGCCTTTGAGTACTCGAGTTGTGACACCACTTCACCCGAATTGGGCATAAGCTTGATCAAATGAAGTACTCACCGGAGAACAATCAAAGTGATTAAATTTCTTTAATACTTTTTCAATGTAATAAGGGTAATTGCAATCCCCTTGTTCTTACGTTTGATCCTTATTCCAAGGATTACTTTCGTCTCCCTCATGCATTTCATGGAGAAACTTGATGACAAAAACTCTTTAGTTTTATCAACTTGATTTTGGTCGGTGCCACATATCAACATGCCATTAACATACAAACAAATGATCACTCCATTACCGAATGTATCTAATTTTCTATAGACACACTTGTGTGCTTGGTTTAACATAAAACCATTAGACAAGACAACCTCATCAAACTTTTGATGCCATTGTTTGGATGCTTGTTTCAGCCCATACAATGATTTTACAAGTTTACACAACTTATGCTTAATCTCGGGCATAACAAAACCTTCATGTTGTTTCATGTAAACTTCCTCCTCCAAGTTAACATTCAAGAATACCGTTTTGACACCCATTTGGTGAATCACTAGATTGTGAATAGCTCCTAAGGCTATCAACAATCTAATCATGGAAATCTTTGCAACCGGGTCATAAGTATCGATCATGTTGCATAAAGCCTTGGATTACCAATCGAGCTTTAAACTTTTCGATTGATCCATCCCAAAATCCCTTACTCAGTCCCGAGTAGGCTAATATAGTGTTCACCAGTTCTTTGAGAAGTCTATTTTTTCGTTCTACTACACCATTTTGTTGTGGTGTATACGGCGTCGTAGTCTCATGAATGATTCCTACGGATGGAAAAAACATGGAGTTGTAATACTCCCCACCATTATCGGTGCATAAACATTTTTTATAAAACAATTCATTTGCAATTCAACTTTCGTTTTACAAACTTTAAATTTGTCCAATGCTTCAACTTCTGTGTGTAACAAATATACATAGCAAAACCGTGAAGCGTCATCAATAACAATAACAACATACCTTTTATTACAAAAAGATGGAGTTGAGTGCAAATCACAAAGATCACTATGAATCAAACACCGACGAGTCCCTTTTCACGTTAGGAAAAGGTTTCCTAGTGATCTTTGTTAACATGCAACTTTTACATTTTTCAGAAAACATGTCAAAGGTTGGAATTAAACATTCCTTTGACATTTCTTTCATTCTTTTGAAATTCAGATGGCCAAGACTTGCATGCCATAAAACAGATTCAACAAAATCTGAACTTGAAACAAAAGTAGAACTTAAAAAAACTTTATTATTCAAATTCAACATAAACATGCCATTTATCAAATAGATGAAGCTTGCAAAGGAGCCACTTTTTGACAAGATAAACTTGTTGGATTCAAACACTTGCCTATATCCTAACTTATTCAAGATACTACCGAAAACCAAATTCTTTCGAATTTGTGGTACATACAGAACGCCTAAAAGTTTAATTATTTTGCTAGAACTAAACTCAAGCCTAACTAAGCCACGTCCAAGAATGGGTGCACTCGACTTGTTCCCCATGTGTAGCTTTGATCCGTCTCCCAACAGTTCCAAAGATTTGAAACGACGTCGATTCTTGCATACATGACTCGTAGCACCCGAGTCGATCCACGCAACATCATCATTCTACACATAAAAATGAGCCGGATATTAGTGGTCCATAACTCTAATTTGAATTAAAACTAAAGTCAAGAAATTGATGTTGTCGTGGACTTTGATCCTTGGATCCTTGATCACGACCACTAGTTCTTGCCCCATACTTGCTTTTGCCAACCCAACAATCACGCTTGAGATGGCCAGCCATCCCACAAGTCCAACAAGTTAATATAACCTTCTTGTAGGGCTATTTCTTGGTTTCATAGAACTTGAATTTTCCCTTGAACTTATTAAATTTACCCTCTTCCACGATGTTCAAAGAAGGAGGAGAAACCTATTGTGCCTTAGGTTTCTTAGCCTCTTGTGTCCGAAGTGATTCCTCTATGTGAAAGTGACTACCGATTTGTACAAGAGACAACTCATCCTTCTTTTGTTTCAACATGTGTTTAAAATCTTTCCCTGAGTGGGGCAGTTTATTAATAATGCTCAATACAGAGATGAATTCATCTATCTTCATATCATGTTGAGCTTATTGCCATAGAATGCACAGGAGTTCATTTTATTGCACTATCACATGCCCTGAGTCCACCGTTTGGTAATTATTAAAATTAGTAATGAGGAACTTATTACTAGAAGCATCCTTGTCCATGTACTTGGACTGAAGAGATTCCCATAAATTTTTGGCAGACTCACTATTTTGATAAATGTCAAAGAGAGAGTCACATATACCATTTAGAATGTGGCCACGATAAATGTAGTCGTCATTCTTCCATTTGACTCGACGCTGAGTCATCTCCAATGTCTCGTCCTCCATCACCTTTGGTATTAGAGTACTCAACACATATACCACTTTCAATGTGGTCAATTGAAAGTGCATCTTCTTTTGCCATCGTTTGAAATCTATGCCTTCGAATTTCTCGAGTTTGGTGAACTTCGTCCTCATGTCTCCCATGATTTGATCACTCAACATTGTTTCTCATGTAGAAGAAAATATCACTTACGATGGTCGGGGAAGCCAAAATATTAGTGATAATAAGAACTTGGATAAAACTTGAGATCGCGTGAGAGCTCGATTTCTTTAAGTGGTATTTCGACCCTAATCTGCCTAGGTTTCACAAAATTCACTCAAATTTTAAACTTAGAGAATCGTAACCACTCTTATTTTAATGTCAAGAATAACTCCTTAGTAAATTGGAATGATTGATGGAAATTAGGAGGGAGTGGTTAGGATAAGGCAAGGATAAATTAGAGGGTAATCACCAGCTAGACAAGATGAGGCAATCCTTTAGTAAAATCGCTGAACACTTGTGAACCTTCAGCTATGATGAACACTTGTGAACCTTCAACGAGAGACCGCTGAACACTCATGAACATTCAACTATGTTGAGCATGAGTTAACCATCAGCTAGCTGAACACTCGTGAACCTTTACCTACACTGAGCATGAATGAACCATTAGCTAGTTTGAACATTCAATGAATTGAACACGTTGCCATCGTCTAGCTGAACCTTCAGCTAATAGACCCCTCGGGTAGCTAAACATGAAGAAACCATCAGCTTGTTAGTGTACCATCAACTATATAGAGTTGAACACAAGAGCTGATCACTTTCTGCCACAAAATGCAGCGGCCCATGCCAATCTAAAGAACAAAAGCGCACGACCCATGCCAAAATACATTGCCCGTGCCATTCTGAAGGCTAAAACGCATTGGCCATGTTTAGCATTCTGTCTGCAGCACGACCCATGCTCTTTTCTAGTGTAAAAGAGCACGATCCATGCACTGCCATCTGCCACTTGTACCCTTCCTACACAAGACCATACAACAATCCTAGATTCTGGTTAGCTTACATTAGTGTGCACTCCACACCTGCTAGCCTGTGTTATAGCGTAACTAACAACCCCATATTATCATTGTGAATCCAATTAAATAAAATGTACAAATGATTTCACTAAAATCAGCAACAATAATGTATGCTAGAAATTCTCAAAATATTTATGGGAATATGGTATTTTAGTTAACTTTACTTTACATCATATTCTTTTGTAAAAACTTTGTGGTATTTTTAGTTGTTTATATGTTAATGATATTTAAAAAAATGGAAAAAAATAAAAAATTTGTGGTGTTGGCTTATATAATTAAGTTTGTTGTGAATGTTCATTCAATTGATCTTTAGGTAATAACAATTTAAATAGACTTTTCATACAATAAATTTAGTATCATTAAGATAATTGATACTACATTGGTAATTGGGTTATACAAGTTATTTAAAGTTGAAATTGGAAACAAACTATCGAAACAAACTGTTTTATCTTTACATTAAGTTTGTTATAAAGGTTCTATCAATGGATTTGAAGTTAAAAACAATTGATACAACAAATTTAGTATCATTTCGTAAATTGATGTAATCAAGATTAAAAACATCATAACGTCAAACGAATATACTAAAACTTCATAGAAAGAACGTCAGTAGTAGACCTAAACCTTCACATGATACTTTATGTGAAGGTTTCCAAGTCGTTAGAAAACAAATTGTAGCATCATTGGCTCATAACAATTATCTAATAGACAAGTTTCTCCAAAAATATCATCATAACATCCATCCATCAAATGCACTGTTAACCTTTATGTGCTCTAGCTTCGGTTCACAAATTGCCATCACCAATTGAAGTAAAGAGATCCATGCTCTCAACATCTCTACTATCTCATCTCTATGTTGACTCGAAATATTTGTTGTCTTCACTTTCTTTTCGTTTTTAGATGAATGTTGGGGTCTTGGGAATGTACTTATGAGCCTCAACAATTTTCTCTGCTCAATAATGTCATGAAGTTTTAATTACATGCACACCCTTACACTGTATGTAGAGATGAAAACATAATATGGATTGCATGAAATAAAAACGTCTGGATAAGGACTTATTGAAAAAGTGGTTACCTACGCTAAAATGTCAAATAGATAGAGGTGCCTATAAAGTTTACGGAACATTAACCAACACAAAACAACGCTCCTCCAAAAAATTCCTGAGGGGTAAAGTTACAACTACCATACGACATCTATAGTAGTTTAGAGATTCTTCTACATGCTTTTCCCTATCGCATAACAGAGATAATGAATAGAAATGAGTTTTTTCATATTAGTTAAAGCTCACAAGCCTCATATACCAAGGCTCTTTTTGTTGTTTCCAACTCATGACCTTCGAAAGTGGTAATATGATTAGATATTAGTAGTTTCATATTGAATTAAAACAAGAATGGGATCACATAATAGTGTTTGTTGTGAAGGTTCACTGAATTGTTAGTTCAAAACAATGTATACAATAATATAAGCATGAAAAAGGTAAGCATGGCAGGGAAGGATATTGTTACCTTCAATATTCACGTCACTTTTATTTCCAAAAAATGTGGAATTTGTTTCAGAATCTTTGCCACTATCGTCCAATCATATTGCTTAATCTGGATATTCTTTTAACTTGGCTACGATTGTTTTGTTAACCTTTGGATTCTTCGATCCATTTTTTATGATTATGTTGAAATATAAACAAAAAACACAAAATAAACAACAATGAAGGGCTTTCAAGAATAAACATATAGTTGTTGTATTTGTTTCTTAACTTCCCGAAACATTCTTTTTTAACATAGTTGTCAAGGCTCCAATATGCCTCAACAGAACCTTAACATGGGTATATCGGGAACAAAAAAGAAACAACTTCATAGTAAGTTTGCTAGAAAGGTTAACAACAGATTTAGTAAAAAGGATGGATTGTATATGTGCTGCAATATAGATTACACATACACAAATTCTTGCGAAGGTTGTTTTTATTTCACACTTCAGTGGCAGACCTAGGAATTATGTTCAGCAGTGCACATCTGAGGTCAATCAACGAGTCGTAAAATCCTGTTGATGCGGGGGAAGTCATCGTGATTTACCCCAATAAAAAGTTAATTGTTTCAATTTGGTGAATAAAATATATTTTTTCAAAAGAAAGCGAACTTTATATTTTGAACAAGTAGCAAGACAATTTGTCTTGCTCGATGTGGCTTTAGCCGAATTACGTCATTTATAAGGAACTTTTTTGGTTTTTTGGTTGATTTCTCAAGATTTTCTAATTTTTTGGATTTTATTTTGATTGTCCTTTTTTCTTTCTTTTTCTAGGTTTCTAATTTTTTTTCCTTATACATCAAGGACTTCTACTATTAAATATCATATTTTAATATAAATTAACTAACCAGATTAAAATAACATTAGGGTTTTGAGCATGTGAAAAATGACATATAAGTTTAGTGCAAAATTAATTTAAAACAGATCTAAAATTTAGGACAAATAAATAATGAAATAAAATAAATTTAGAGCAAACCTAAAATTTAGGGTAAATAAGGCAATTTAATAATAAAATTAAAGAAATCTAAGACAAATAAATAAAATGCAATACATAATATGCTTGAAAAATACGAAATAAGGGAGATGATGGATGATTTCTGGGTGGTGATTGAAGAGCAGAAGTGGGAACAAAAACCCATGGTTTAGAGATGTTCCATTAAAATATTGTTGATTCTCTCTTAGTCATTTGATGATTTTCATTTTTATCTAACGAAAAGTATTTAGTTCTCTCTATTCAGTTTCAATTATCATCATTGAGTCTGTTTAATGATCGCTAAACAAATATTGTAATTCTCAAGAGACAAATATTATTCAAAAAGACAAAACTCATACCCACAAGAACCTTCGGTAATATCGAAAGATAAATCTGAACCTAGAGACAAGCAGTTCGTGATATGATGCCGTTTTAGTGATAACAAGCTTGCCTACAAATGTGTGAAGTCTACTCAAGATTCAACATACACTGAAGAAACTTTAGAGTTATTTTAGTGTCAGCAATCAAATGAATCTTGTTGATCAAGATTAGTTTTTGTCTTATCCTCCTAACACACAAAGGACAAACCCATACCTCTCAAAGTAAAACACTCGTACGGAATCACCCTATTGTCTCTAAACGTGCTTACATAATTTTTGAAAGACCACTGTTCATATACGACCAAAAGCTTGTATATATGAAAATAAAGGACAATCTCACCTCTATTAGCTTGCCACGTGTCTTGTACTATCTGACTTGCATTTAATGCAATAGGTATAAATAGCCAAGAAGTCCCTCCTCTTCAAAGAGTGTTCAAATCTCAAAATACCCAAGAAGATACATCCTCACAAGCATAGACTTCTTAATCTTGCAGAAGTTACATTTACTTCAAGTGAAGAACACGAACTAAGCTCTTCCTCTAGAGAAGTTATTGCTTCTTCTTTTAGACAATCTTTTCTTTCTTGCTTTCTGTATCATATGTGTTTCCTAGATTGTTTTAGATAAATTATGTATCTTATTTTATTCCACAAACAATATGTAAATTATGTATTGATCTTCTTTATCAATAAAGGATCTTAAAAAGTGAAAATATTTGTATGTTTGTATTCACCCCCTCCCATTCTACAAACTGTTACCTTTAAAACTCTTGTAGATTCGTCTGAGACCAACAAATATAAGCATGGTCAATCATAGAATTTTTAATGCCCTATGTGAAAATGCTAAAAAATGACCTGATGCATATTTTTTAAGCCAATGAAACGACGAAACATGCGATTTTTTTAAAGGGTTTGGAACCTAGTCAATGTAGGTGTCTCATCCCTACGATGATTTTCGTTAATTATAATAAAAATACTAAAAGGGGACATAAAAACCAAAACCCCAATTACAAAATATAGAATGATAAAAAGATAAATCCTAAATTAAGATCGTGCTTCCTTCTTTTTCGGTTTCCCTTTTCCAAATTGAAACTAACACAATAAAAACTTTATTTCAATATGTGGAACTTAATAGACAAAAAAAATATAATTAGTTTTTAACTAAATAGTAAATTACATCGAAATTTCTAACACCCCCATCCTGCGTGGTAAAAGATGGGAGATGCCACAATTGGTTTTAAAAAAAATCAACGAGCATTATATAAAACTGAGCATCTAATAATTTACCAAAAGATAATAATATAACCACAAACGGAGATAACATGTCTCAAAATACGATCCCAAAATACCAGTATGTCTACATTAGTCATCAAAAGTTAACAAAAGTATGACGTAATGGATTATCTTCAATATTGTCATCTCCGTAGCTCTCACCCCAAAATCCCTGCTAAGTCATGTACCTGCTGAGGAAAAGAAAATTCCGGCTGAGCTTAATGCTCAGTGAACATATAATAATAACTAAACAATGAATATGAGATAACAAGTTTAAAAGAAATTTATAACGCTAAGTGATAATCCAAAAGAAAGTCAAAATGCCCCGAAAGCATGTCAAGGGTCCGAAGACCAAACCGCATCACGAGGACGCATTGTTCCCAAATGATGATCAGTCCGTTAAGGCATAAGTGATGTAACGCCCTAATTTTTTTTTTTTGAGAATGTTACGTAATCTGAAACAAATTCCTAAATAAATACTCCAAAAGACGGCTAAAATAATACCGTTTAAACCGTTTACAACGGAAGTCTTTGAATCAACCAAAAATTAACTTAAGTTTCAACCCACCTCATACCAGGTTAAGTTACAGAAGATTGACACAACACTGCTAGACAAAAGACTAAAAACAAGATGATAATTAGCAACTCTTTAAGCGTGTCCTTTGCCCTTATCCAACCTCGAACTACCTGGTCCTGAGATGCATATTATAGTCAGCTTATAAAGCTCAGTGAGTTCATGGTTTGCGTGAGTAAAATCATATCTTGACATATATATATGGCATATATGCATGCTTTATAATAAAAGTCACAGCTTTAAGAAAATATATATTTAAAACACTGAAATAAGAGATCTCATAATGTTTAGTCAGGTATGGGTCATTTAGTCACAAACACGCCCTGGGTTGATAGGTCAATCGTAATTGATCACCCACTTATCCGGGTAGTGTTTTATACTGGTCGTGACTTACTGGTCAAATACCCACCCTTGAATCATAAAACTTTAATATGGAATAGCATGCTAGAGTTATTCGAAAACTGATTAAACACATAGCATGCAACCATTCACAAAATAACATACATGTAAAATATATCATAACATGTATGCAATTGAAATATCATGTATACGTACACATCATCAACAATTCATATCATGCAAAAATGATTTGTACTTAGTTATGCATTCCAGTGAAATCTCATGAAGACTCACCTGACAACGAAGGTTGCTTAACTAATGTCGTTGACTGGTAACCTACAATTTATAATAGCGAATAGCATATAAATGATTAATTTCGCCCAAAGGCTAACATACAAGTCAACTTACGGTCGACTACGTCGACTAGGATCAACCTTGGTCAACTATGCTTAAGAACGTTCCTCACATCAATTAAACTTATAGGAACGTGAGTTCCAACATAAGGTGTATCGTCTAGCTATATATCTTAAAATGACATCATAAACATGATTATTAAGTTATCTATTATATGATAGACATGTTAATAATTACATATTTCGAGTTAAAAGCGTTCTAATAATCACAAAATTTAAATGATTCATTCTAATTATCCCAAAATAATTACATAGTTAAAGTAGTAAATTTCAACCTTGACGGTATTTTTATAAAGCAAAATGGTCACGCATTGCTCAAAATACACATTCTTTAATTTTAGAGGCATTTTGGTAATTTTATAAAAATAATAATATAAAAATAAAGTTCATAGACCAATCCCCAAGATATATGGCTATTTCGGTAAATTTTGGAAGCAAATACGCAAAATATTGCTAATATACCGATTTTTCATTTCTAGGGTCATTTTGGTAACTAAACAAGATAAATAATCGAAATTGGGTCAAAGATTGCATTTTACGAAATATAATAGACTTGATGAAAGTCTCATAAAATTATATTGGATAAAAAAAATATTTTCTAGAACTTCAGGGATTTAAATGTTAATCTCTGAAACATAAACATTTAACTAATATTAATAATATCAGTGCATCAGATAAACAAAACTCGATGTTAGCTCACTGGTTAGTGCTCGAGGGTTTCATGGCTGAGGTCATGGGTTTGAATCCCGTCCTTATTGCCTTTATTCCCATTCCTTTTTAAAGGTAAACGGATGCGGGTCTTGGGCCGGGCCAACCCGGTCCGTGACCCAACAACGAAAACAGGAACAAAAACAAAGAAACAGCAGCAGCCAAAACAGAAAAGAAAAGCAGTCAAGGCCTGCACATTTTCAAGCTTAAAAAGCTTGAAAATGGTTCGTTTCTTTACTTTTTTTCTTCATTCTTTTTACGCCAAACTGTTGATCATCTCTCTCAGTGATTTGATGATAATCCCTTTTTCCTTTTCATGTTGTATTTGTGTTTCTGTATTTTCAGTTCCAACGATCATCACTGAGTATGTTCAGTGATCGCTGAAGAACTTGCTTTGTAAATTCATCAAAGAAAGCAATACTTCAAGAAGACAACACTCACACCAAAGAACCTTCAGCGAACGTCGAAGACTGAAACTGAAGATTAGAGACTGGCGAGTACGTGATCTGAAGCGGTATTCAGTGATTATAAATCTGTCTACATATGTGTGAAGACTGCTCTAGCTTCAGCGAATGATGATGAGACCTCCAGGTCATTCCAACATTCAGCGATCAAAGGAAGCTTGCTTAGCACGATTGTTGTTGTCTTGTCCTTATGCACACAAAGGACAAACCCATACCGTTGCAAAAGTTAGTACGGTACGGAGCCGATTAGTTGACTCTTTGTCCACCAACTTTAAGCAAGGATGTATGCTCAAAAATAGTGCTTTTGTACTATTCATTGTAGCAAAGGACAAGCCTTCCTCTTAAGGCTTGACACGCACTCTAAACCCTACCTTACTGCATTAAATGTTCATTTAATGCATTGGGTATAAATAGAAGTGTTTCTTCTCTATGCAGAGTGCGTGCATCACTCTCCAACCTAATTCTTACTTCAAGCATCCTCTAGCTTAAGTAAAGGATCTTTCATATAGCATTCTCTTTTCTGTGTTTGCTATAGCTTCGTGTGTAACCAAAGATTGTTTAGATAGGTTTTTMTTTACCTTATCTTTCCGCAAACAGTCTTGTAAAATCTGTATTGATCTTCTCTATCAATATATATTTAAACCTTGTGTTTGTATTCATCCCCCCTTCTACAAACTGTTTCTTATCTTGTAGACCCTTTCGGGACCAACAAGTGGTATSAGAGYAKTGTTTTCTTTCTTTCCTTGTGTTTTGTTATTTCTCTGTATTAATTTATCTCTTCTTATATAACTTATTGCTTTCAAATGGCTTTACATATTACAAACACACACACACAAGATAATGGCTCCCTTGCCAAACCTCCCCGGTTTGTCCGTGACAACTTTTGTCTCTGGAAGAACCGGATGTCCCGCTTTCTGGAAGGTGTGGATCCTGAAATTCCACA